CTATACGAGGTTGTGTTCATATTGTCTCCTCTCGGTCAAGTGTGCGAATTAACCTTTAATGATGCCGTGTATTTACACCGTAGGAGGCCTTCCGATTGCTGGTTGCGTTCAATCTCGATCCATCGCCTCTAGTTACTGCTATAACGTCTCGTTGTGTAACACTAGCGGACCACAAACAGACCACCAAAGATGGATTTGCTCCTTGTCTACCTGCGCTCACAAATACTACTGCTCCACTGAATGTAGAGAGGGCTCTCGTGACAAAATCCGTGGCTGCTTTTTCTGACTACCTCGGTGTTGCAAGTGATGTGATTATGGAAGAGGACCGCAAGAAGTTCGTACTCAAAACGTTTCATGGTGTTTATTCAGTTCTCAACATCACCTCACGTGCATTTACTCTTCTAGCGATCTTCTTGATCTCTACTGGTCCTTGCTGAAGGTTTTACTGACCAATCTGGACTATCGTGGTATCTTATTTGCTGGCGGCAACCCTCGAACTAAGAAGGACCTCGATTTACTGGCCTGTCGCACAATACTTACAGGAACATCGCTCCAACTTTCACCCATTCAGCTGCCATGCTGGCTAATGCAATTCCTCTCTAGTAGTCCTTCTGGTCATGTCAAACCTCTCTTACGCCTCCTTCTCGATCACAACCGATTACGAGACGCCTATCGTCTTGCTTCTGCCATTCTTTCAACCGCTATCGGTTCTGAAACCAGTCGTTATCCAGCTTTATTAAAAGAGGTACATTTAACTTTCATTTCTGCTCCCTCGAGGAACGCCGGACTCATCCATTTCCTCTTGCTTACTCAGGTTGATCTGCAGCAAATTCAGATGATGTTGCGCACTACTCCTGAGCTTATTACTTCCTCATCATTACACCTTCCTCACGGCCTTCTTATCCGTCTCCTGGAAGCGCTTGCTGCTGCTTCACATAAATCTCAGACCTACCGCTTTGTAAGTGTCAACCCTCTTGATTCGTTTCACGTTAGTTATGTGGACATGTGTAGACCTTGCTAATTTATTCTTAGTTGAATGGGGACGCTGAGATGGATCGGGCGCTAAGTTATCCCAGACTAGAGTATACATTTTATAGCACTTGTCTGGATAGCATTCGGCTAAAATGCATAGTCATGTGGAATCGTGCAAAATTTGGCAAGATTCCTTGAAGGTTTATTCGGTAGCAGTGCTCTTTTTATGTGGCTTCGCTGACAGGTCTCTTTAAGTGTGACTGATCCTTTTTATGATCAAAACAGCACAATTGAATGCATATCAAGTCATTGTGACCCCCGGGATATTTATCAGTGCTTCATCCTCTTTCCTTTAGATGCATACGAAATTGGAATCACTGATGAAGCAGTATTACTCCACGCTAGTCTCAGTGGATCGAAAACTTCGACCACTCCAGTCGCATTAATCATATTGTACACTTCTCAATTAAAAGCTTTTGTGTATAATTGGCCTTCAGCATGACTGTTTTTCCCTTTCTCAGTGCTTACCTAGCACACGCTTTACTTGGGGTCGGCGATTGTATGCTCAGCGGAAATTCTAACCTTTAAGGCCTTTGAAGTTGTGCGTTGCATCAACTCCTCCTTGTCGTTTGTGGTATCGGACCTGATTGGACACAAAAAAGCCCTCATCTTCAGGAGTCACGAAGTGTGTCTGTGTGTGTGTGTGTGTGTGAAAACAAGTCCATGGGAAATGCGGGTCCGACGTCAAGGCCCACCCCCCAATGTCTTGCAGTCAATCGGGAGAACAATATTTTTTTGTTAAGCACATCTGTAACGTGCCCTACTTGTGCATCAGTGTTGGCGACCCGACAGTGACCAAGTCGTCCATTTTTGAGTCTTGCGCGTTGTTTATCTTTGGAGCGTCCCATTTGCGCCACGCCCAATACTGCGATAGTGCATTTGCAGTGTGCGGTTGTGAGACTCACTTTTGAAGAGTTAAGCGGAAATGGTGTAGTTGGTGTCGCTGGGAGTGGAGCCTTCTGGCAACAGTAGAGACGAATTGTAATTTGACGACAAGACATTCAAAATGCAATGGCAATTTTAACAAACTCGACTTTGTTATGGTCACCCACTCGATTTTAATTCTTTTTGACTATTTGGAATCGTTTCCCTCATAAGGAAGAAATAACAAGGGCTTGCAATATATCATTTATTGTACGGCATGTGAGCAATCAGTTGTAGTGGCACGGACCTCTTGCACTCTCCACCTCCCTTTTCTTCACTCGGTCTCGATCTGCATCAGAGTATTCGTCTCAATCCCCGAGAACGATGTAGTTGTTCCCTCTGCTGTAGTGGTATACGACTATCTTCGTATCCACCGTGGGAGCGCACTTGAAGGATCGTATTTTGCAGTTGATGCTAACAGATTGGACACGAAGTTGTGCGTTGCAGACACGATGACCCTCTTGCCACCAGGTAATACTTGATGTGCGTAAATAATGGATGTTGAGTAGCAAACACAACATTCGTTTGCACTTCTCTGCCCCATTTCTTGGGTATGGTTTTGGCGGGGCAATACCACTCTCTCTCTCTACTTTGGAAGTTTGTGGAAGCACACAAACCACAGCCCCATCGATCTGGATTGTGACCAGTACAGCGTGGAACGTTGACTACGACGATTTGCAAAAACTGAGATCAGTTTGCAACACGACACTTGCTACACTTCTCTAAACATCTCAGCATGATTGTTTTCTCACCATTCATCGCCTGATCGGTTAGTTTGTACAGTAATCCGGTAATCGTAGCAACAGTTTTAATGGGCGTTTGTATTTGCAATTTGCCAGGCCAAGAGGACCAGAAAATCTGTTTGATCGTTTAGTGTCTAAAGGGTTCGCACACAGTTTGCACAGCAATCCTGTTTGAGGAGGCACTATAGTGCGCGAAAACGAT